AATGCCGTCACCGGCGGTGGTGAGATTTTTGATATAATGTAACGGCGCAGGCAAGACTACTCGGATCAGTATCGGCAGTAGCGTCACTCAGAGGCATATGGGAGTGCGTGGGACATCAAACGAGCCTTGATTCGAATAGACACCTATAGGCCTTGTACGAAAGGATATCAAAAATCTATCGAGCTACGGTATGGAGAAGGTGGGGTTTTATATCAGCAGATCTGCCCTCGGCTAGTGCGTGCCCATGTTCGGATCCCTTTCGGATGTTAGTTCAGTGTGTACTCGAACCGTTACAGATAGACTCTAGCTATACAAGCGGCTGTATGCTGATTATTGTAACGGTTCGAGTACCTACCGAACTAACATCCGAAAGGGATCCGAACATAGGCACGAACTAGCCTAGGGCAGATCTACTAATATAAAACCCCACCCGTTCTCTATAGTAGCTTAATAGATTTTTGATATCCTTTCGTACAAGGCCTATAGGTGTCTATTCGAATTAAGGCTCGTTTAACGTCCCACGCACTCCCATATACCTCTAAGTGACGCTACTGCCGATACTAATCCAAGTATTCTTGCCTGCGCCGTTACAATTAAAGTGCTTTACTTACTCTATACTAAGCTCGTCTATTATCTAGCCGTTATTTAAGACGCCGATCGTCTAGTTAGATAGGAGCCCATTATACTAGCCAGCCTAGCGGACTTTGCTAGAGAGAACTATAAGTAGTAGAGACCAGCTAGACGCGTTTACGCACTTAATCGCTGTTACCTACTCGCAATTACCTAGCTAGATAATAACTACTTAACTATTTCTATTAGAGCTAGTAACTACCTTTAACGTTATAGCGACACCTATCGCGAATCTAGTCTCGTTAAAGTTATAGATATCTTAGTTAAGAACACTATACGTCTAGCGTATCTCTTCTACTAGCTTAAACTAGGCTGCAATTACAATAGGATCCTTATAGGAGGCGCACTAACTATACAGCCTTCTAGTCTACTTTATCTAGTGCTTAAGCTGGCTCTGGATAAAGCGCGATACCTAGTTCTTACTAATAGGTAGTAGAGGTGGATCTTGGCCGCGCACAGCAAGAAGAGTGTCTGCTATACGTCGTACGTCGATGATATAGAGCAGAAATCTACGCTGGTTAAGAGCTAGGATCTACTGCACGAGGGACTACTCTTTAATAGGCGATAGCTTTCGGTTGACAGAGACTGTCTCTAATCGTGGCTAGGTGCCGCAGAGACGAGTGTATAGTATTAATTTTGGCATATTATACGCTTTTGCAAGAGCATGAATAGACTGACTTAAATTACTATTATAGGACGCAATAGCAAGATCTATTCTACCTTCACGAGAAGTCTGTATAGAGCGTTATTGTCGCGGCATTGTGGTGGTTGTGAAGAGAGTCGCGCCAGGTTTGGTGGGGCGTTCAGCTTACTGGTGTTTCCAGCTTACTGGTGGAACACGTTAGTTTTAACGTTAGTAGCTCCATTCGTTTGTTTAGCATGCCGAATAACCAAGGCAGTCATTTGTTAGTAAATAAGGATAAAAGTAAGGGAGGAGAGTATTTTTGCAGCGGAAATCCGGGCTAATAACTTATTGGATAATGGATTTATTGGCTAATTAATGTCACGGGAGTGAGAGTATAACGTGGCGGATAAGCGAGTCGCGCAGGCAAGCGAGTCGCGCACCTCACCAACTTTCTTACTCTATTACACTTGCCTTTATCATGGCTCCACGCCACGCTATTCAATTACTCTCAAATGAATCAGATATTCAGCTTACTATACAATCTCTTAATTCTAATCAAATTCAAACAGGCCGACGCGCAGCTTCAATCTTTAACGTGCCTGAATCAACGTTACGCAATCGACGCGCTGGGAAGCGTGCGAGACGCGATTGCCAGCCCAACTCAAAAAAGCTTACTCAGATAGAAGAGGAGGTGATTATAAGCCATATACTTGATCTAGATCAGCGTGGATTTGCGCCTACCTACGCTGCCGTACGTGATATGGCTGATAAGCTACTAGCTGCACGTGGTGCTGGCCACGTTAGGCAGAAGTGGCCAGCCAACTTTATTAGGCGTACAGGCTCTCTTACAACGCGTTTTAATCGAGCGTACGATAGGCAGAGAGCTCTATGTGAAGATCCAGCCCTAATTAAGAGCTGGTTTGAGCTTGTGGAGCAGACAAAGGCCAAGTACGGCATCTACGACGAAGACGTCTATAACTTTGACGAAGCTGGCTTTATGATAGGCAAGATCACGACTCAGCTTGTCGTAACAGCGTCAGAGAGAAGAGGCCGGCCAAAGGCAGTTGAGCCAGGCAATCGCGAGTGGGTAACGCTGATCGCAGCGATTAACGCAGCTGGCTGG